CCACGCGGGCAACGTTGCTAGGTGGATAGGTTAACAACGAAGGATCACGACGAAAGAGAAAAGTCGGAAGAAAAAAGATTTGCCGAGCGTTTAATTGTAAAGTGTTTATTAAGGATCCTCGAAACGCCGAAATAGTTGCCAAATTCGGTCGCTTTCTTCGAATTATTCACATATCGAAGTTAATCGCTAGAAATAGAATTTATATTACATAGGGGAGAGGGAATAATAATATAAACGTATTAATGTTAGTAGAAAAAGTTTTAGATGAATAGACTTGGCTTGGTGATTCGAGGATTAAAGTAACCTACATTCGTGCACTGCGTGTTTTATTAAAATTCTCCACATATTTGGAAGTATATCCTTGTGTTCAAGGAAATGTTTGCAAAAAATGAACATCGAACCGAGCTTCGCGATCTGAGGATACAAGTGGAATAATTGTAGAATGGCAGTTTTTATCTAGACTTTGAACGTCCTCGTCTTCTTCGTAACGATATCCGGCAGTTAGAACGCATTATTTCCTTCGTACGTTGTGCGATTTTCATCGTTTTTTACCGATGCGTACCCAAGTGTTCGACGTTATCAATTTACGTCGCTTAAGACGTCGCTTAAGAGTGAAAAAGAAATTACTGAACTTACATACTTGGGGAAACACTCAGTGTTTATGAGCCAAAAAGAATATATACTATACTTCTCTCAAGATAGTTATTTTCTGATTTTAATTGAATATTTGAGAAGCTATATTTGGAAATATAGTACATCTTAAGCGACACAAGTATAGGGAAACATAATCCATGGATTTTTCATTAATTTTAAAGCGTGTCCGAAATTATGTGTTTCCTATTAAAGTTTAACCTAACCTACGATCTTTTGACCTTTGTAATTCTATAAAAAGTAAATTATCTGTCGCTCATTTTTGAAAATTATTTTATTTTGTCCTAGAATTCGATTTCGTTTGTTACAACCTGTGAACCTGTAATTGATAACCAATAATTGACTTGGCAGTCAATAGTAAATTAATTTTATTAAATTCGTAATTGGTGATGTTGAAACATCACCTTAATATATGCAGCTTTGTAAATTCCCGAGAAATTAGCATCGAATCGTCGTATGTAGCCGGCTCGAAAACGAGTAACAGACCTGACTGTTACGTTATTGCGCGACAGCTCCGGAGAACATTAATATTTCATAGTGATTCGCGTGTCTTTGCGCGCAGCTCGTTTCCATTGATCGATATTAGAGAGAATAACCTCGATCTTCCGGCTCGTACGACCGAGACGCGTCTCAGCTCGAGCGGCGCGAGCCTTCAACCGAACGAGTAGTAACGGTATTGAAAAGAAGTACTCTAGCCCTTGGACTCTTGGATTGCTTGCCTCTTAGAACTGAATAATTTGAATATAACCAGAAAACAATTGAACGACAGTTCAAAATAGTAATAGAAAAGAACCGCAAGATGTATTATTATTGTTGTCGTTCCTTTTTATTATTGTTATTTATTTTTTATTCGCTGTTTATTTCCTATTTTATTGTTATTTATTTTTTATTCCATTATTATTTATTTTAATTTAGTTGCTTGTTGCTTTCTTCTTGACAAAATACTCTCCCCAATTGATACATATTTTTATATTTTCGATTGAAATTCAATTTTCCATGTATAAATGCGATTATTTATTCTTTAGAATGCTGTTAAATCGAGAAGAACGATCGCAACTCTTTAGATTCAGTTTCTCCGATGGAAAGAAAACCGTATTGATTAAAAACATAGTTCTTGCAAGTGCATGTAATTCTCAGAAAAGTTACTTATTTCTGAATCAATATTACCTATTCCCCGCAGTGACCCATATGTCAAAGTAAGAAAAGCATATCAAGTAGCCAATCACTTTAGCATTATATCTTTTCTACTGTCTCTGTGAATCTTTCTATTCTCGATCATCTGGAAAGAATATTATCTAACTCAAACCTGACTTAAATTATAAATCTTTTGCAATTATTTATCGAAGATACGTCCAATACAATCATTTATTGAAGATACGTCCTCTCGATTGCAGTATTTCTTGATCTTGATTAAATTAAATTAAATGGCAACGTTGAGCGTGGACATACTTTAAATAAAAAGTCATCCACGAGAGTCTGTCATTTGTTGTTGTTTTTACCAGATTGGTAAAGATAATTTTACGATTGTTGCAAGTTGAAACATATGTATATTTTATGAAATTCGTCGAAATTTGAAACTATTCTATCATATAGAACAGGGCCCAAGTCACTTCCTAAAGTAAAAAAGGGAACATAAATTTACAAACGCTCTGGCAGTCAACATTTCAAGGAAAATAATTTTTACAACATAATGAAAGAATCGTGTTTGAACTTAAATTTAATTTAAAATTAGTTTTTTCTTACATTTGGTGGGGGAAAAAACCCACCTATTTTGGCCCACCCTGTACTTTCAAAGCAAATCAAGCTTGCAATTAACAGCCGACTGATTTCACCATCTCTTGTTGTGTCTTTTTCACTCGAAAAAATACGGAAACACACACACACACAGACAGAAATCGTATCCTTCGACTTATCCTAAACAGACGATGATAGGTTATAATAGGCGGACGCAAGATACAGAAGCATTTTCGATGCGATCTGAAGACGCGTTGTTACAATGGAGTTCATCGATCCGTAATGACCATTTTCCCGCCAGTTACGGCCTGTAATAACGGAATAGCCAATAAAGTATATCCTGTCGATTTAATCGTTACCCCGACGGTGCGCCGCGGCGCACGGAGATCGGATCGGTGATTTTCACGTGATGTTTCGCAAATCGTGAGGCGCTCGCGTGATTCGCGCGTTTTAAGCCCGTTCCCTCCTCTCCTCCTCGCCTCCCGGTGGGAAAAAGAAAGGGAACGAGGGGATGAGAGAAAGAGGAGGGAAGATACGTGGATGCGGGTTCAACCTGCCACGGGAACCTTTAAAGAAGGTCGGTGCAACGGGAGAGATGTAATTTTAATAAATTGGGGAACAAGACATTCGTAAAAGATGGACCGCGCGCGGTTCAGGTGTTGGAGATGCGGGCAGATTTACGACTCGCTGGAATTAAGTTAGGTGTTGAAAACCTAGTCTTCTTTTTCAGAACTTATCGCATTTATTTTCAAGCGAGCGAGATGCAGAAAAGTAAATTCATTTTTTCGAGCAAAGTCACGCGTGTGTACAAGAAATTAATTTAAAGACATTAATATATATATATATATATATATATATATATATATATATATATATATATTTATATTATAATATAATATATATATTTTTTTATCTTTAAATAAATTTCTTTTTTTTTAAGTCGCAAAAAAGTTGAGAAAGATTTCTTTACAGTTGTAAAAATGTTTCAGATAAATTAATATCTGAAACACTTGAGAGAGATTCAATTGAATTAAGAGTTTTTGCCATTCTGAACAATTTTTGCTTTTCCTGCGATAATGATACATTAATTACGCAAGATAATTTTGCATTTTAATGGTAATTTTCCGACAGCTTTTATAGATTTTAAAACTATTTGATTTCTCGTTTATATGTTTCGAGTAAAATTCTCAAAAATGCTCGTTTTTCGATTTCTTGCACATATACGTGTGAGATTCAATACTCTTTCATTGAGAAAAAAACAGCCTTCGAGTTTCAATGTTTCTTGTTAATTCTTTTTAGAAATAATATTTAGAGGATAACTGGGGATATTTGATAAATAACTATTTAGAGGCAACGTTTCGTTATTTGTAACAACGAACGAACTTCCCGTGCCAATTTAATAATTGTTATTTGAAAGAAACACGAGAGACAATGCTACGAAAAAAGAATTGCGAAGAACGCGGTTAGAAACTGCGTCGCAGGACACTCTTCTTCTGGTTTCTGTAATGAGGAAGTGAAAAAAAACAGCGTGGACAACACGGTGTTTACCGGCAGTTTAATGGGAGAGACGCAGGTACGCGTTGTTACAATTTTGTCGTTAGAACGCTCTTCCCCGCCGAGTAATTTGATAATGAACAGTTGAAAAATTGCAGCGTTGTATTTGTGCTCTTTAATATCCCATCACGTGGAAGTTAACGACCGGAAAATATACCGCTCCTCGACTCCTCGCTCGAGGAAGTAGCCCATGAGCCAACGACTCTTTTGTATTCTTACAGTGATATAATTCCAGTAACGTCTCGTCCTTTGAGAAAAAAACCTTCCTCGTTTCCTTCTTTCTGCCTGTTTATTGACTCCTGTGTTTTTTGTGAATGAAACACGTGGCGTACAAAGTCACAACGCGTTTTTTTAATGGTGTTTCGATGTTGGCAGTTCATTCTTAAGTTGAAAGTTTTTGATCGTTATGTGTCTGCGATCTTGCAACAATTCAAGATCTGTTCATTCGTTTAGTTTTGATTAAACGCGTGATTTATAAATCTGCTGATTGCTTATTCGTTAAATCCGATTTTATATATATATTTTTTTATTTATATATTTATTTGTTTATTTATATATATATTTATATATTTGTTGTAGATATCTAATAATCGTTAAGAGATGAGAAATTGATTGCTCGATCAAATGCTTTTTATTTATATACTCGTATAGGTGTAGATTAGATTTACTCGAAAATTTACACTTTGTATAATTAAGTGAGAAACTTTCTGGAATAACAACAATAATAATAATTCTGCTATAATAATGAATCGAACGAATTAAATAAGAACTAAAATTGAATTAAACATTATCTCTTTAGATTAAAAAGGAAGAATAAATATGGATGGTAAATACATTTGCTCGGAAAATACACTCTAAATTTGTAGATCTGTCTTTCAGAAAGTCCTTCGATCCACTGTGGCCAGGTAAAAAATTCGTGGCGCAATCTAGAAAAAGGAATCCTCTTCAGATTATATTGAAAAGGGGTTCGGATTATATTTTCTAACCGTACCTGTCTATTTCTTTTTACGGACCATCCGAACAGAGAGTCCATTAATTATTTCCCTTCAACCTGTTTCCAGGAGGAGCATCTCGGAAGCCATGTCGGCTGACGAGTTCGCTGGAGATCGGCACAGAAGCAAACCAATGCTGCAACCACCTTAACGAACCGCTATTCTCGCTGGCAAGGTCATTGGGCGGACCGGATCTAATCATGCTCACGCCGACCACGCTTCCTGCGCTCTTATTCCTCTTTCGTAATTACGCCAACCAGACGATCGGACGCTAAAGAATTCGAAGTCGAGTCGAGTAAGAAAAGAATCGCAAGAATACGTTAAAGGCAAACAAACAATTAGAGCAGCCATTCGTTTTTAGACAGAGAAAAATTAAATAAAACATGGGATAGCTGTAGATTTAGCTGGATTTAATTGCTTCCCGATGGTACTTCCTTGGATATTTTTGCACTCGGAAAACGCGAACGAACTCTCTGGAAAGTGGAAACTAGTTTCTAAATCGGATTCACGGTCGAAAGAACCAGCTGGACACTTGGTATAATTATTCACTCGCCTGAGCTATGATATCAAACAAATAAACACGAGAGGAATTTTATGAAGGAATATTCATTAATATCTAATTGAGAATTTAAATAAAAGGACCAAGATAGACTGGTTCTTGAGACGAAGTGCCTACATATATATAAAAGTGTAATAATCTTTCTTACTTACGATTTAGTAAAAAAAAAAGAAGAAGAAGAAGAAGAAGAAGAAGAAAGAAACTCGAGTAGAACGGTTACTCGTCGAAGAAGAAAGAATAGTATAATCATGCCTCTGCAAACGATGGTCCTTATTCTCATGCTTCGTCGCGAAGGATCTCAACTAGAGGAGTGTTCCACAGCGTAAGCTAAAAGGTGGCTATGTAGGCTACCTGGTGAATGCCGTCGCCATGGTGGAGCTGGCGTGCAGCAACTCCCTAAGCCCAGGAACCTAATCCTGCGTGTTTCGGAAAGGAACAAATTTCGCCGAGTAGAAAAGGAAAGGAAACGAAGAAACGATCCTATCGATTCTACGATATCGAAGCTAATTTAGAAAAAACAGAAAGATAGGACGCAAATCTTGCAAGAATCTCACTTGGTAAAGGAAAGAAAGCGAGGTTACGCGTGGCGCCATGTAGAGGAGCAGGAAGAGGCGGCAGTCTTCCTCAGGCATTCCAGCGTCGAGTAATGCTGAAGCATATCCTGACGGGGCAACCGTCGTCAGCGGGCTCCAGGCACCAGCACAATGACTACCAGGCGAACTCGGGCTCGTTGCACGGCGGCCATCATCACCACCATCATTCCATCGGTCACCAGCAGGATCAACAGCAGCAGCAGCAGCAGCAGCAGCAGCAGCAACAGCAGCAGCAGCACCATCATTACAACCAAAGCAGCAACGTTCGCGGTACGACTGGCGGTAGCCAAGGACGTGGAATCGACGTTTACGATTCGATAGTCCATCAGAGGCCGAACGTGCACCAGGCTGCCACCACGCCATCCTCGACTCACAGACACCCGTTGAATCATTCTCAGTTGAGCGTGAACAATCTCTCTCAGCGATTGAATCACTCGCACGCTCTTAATTTGTCCACGTTGTCCACGTCGAAACATTCGGTGAACAGCGTCAGTCCTGTTGTCGGTGGGAATAACAATAATAACAACAACAACAACAATAATAATAATAATAATTTGTCGACGACGTTGGGACACACGGTGGTATCCCAGGCGCCGTTGCACCAGGACAGTAGACCTAAAGCGAATGGAGGCTTTGATATCTCGAGACTGTCCAGGTTACCAAGCCAGGCGACACCTTCGCCTGCACCTGTTCTACAGGGTACAACTACCGGCGGACAGTTGACTGGCCCCGGTTCCACAGCGTTCCCCCTGAACGCTTCCTGGTCCTCGTCCCTGTCGAGGAATCACAAGGACCACGAAGCTGGCGCGAAAGAGACGTTGACCAGTTTGGGTTTGTTGTGTCTAGTGTCGTTGTTGCTCGCGCTACTCTCGTTGATCTTCTTGCTGAAGATCTCGCCGCTAACGGTGACGCCGAGTAGCCTGATAAGCCCGGAGGAGTATACGATCGTCTACGAGGTGACATTAGCGCTGTGCGCCCTCGCCCTCTCCCTGAATCTCTGCTGTCTCCTCGTTTGCGCTATACAGTTCCTCTTCACTGTGAAACTCGTCAAGACGTCGTATCAAGGACACTGGTGAGTAGAGCCTCTATAACATACGATATATATGATATAATATATATTATATTATGTGTATTATACCAAAAATTTATAAAATGACAGAAAAAAATGTAATTGGAGTGAATTTTATAATTGTTGATAAAAAAGAAGTTTGTTGTCACGATGATTTTTTTATGACAATAAATTATTCAGTCATGAAATGGAAATATACTTATTTTTAAAAATAATATTGATAGAAATTTATTAAAAATTTTGAATTTATATGAAATATATATATATATGAAAATATAATTAAATTATTATTAATAATAATAAAAAAACATAAATATATAATATATCTTATATATGAAAATATAATTAAATTATTATTAATAATAATAAAAAAAACATAAATATATAATTGATGATATAGATGAAATTGAACAATATAAAATTCTAATATAAAATATAATAAATATAATTCTAAAAAGCCTCTGTGAAATAATATCCAGTGCCACGAAATAAAGTTTCCCTTTATTATTGCTTATTTGTTTAATAAATTTTGAATTGGTGCTCGAAGTCAGTTAATTAGACTTGCAGCTTGATACATAGTACATGGATCTATAATCCAGCGACCCACTACCGACATATCCTCGATCAAGATTATACTCGCGCTGTGGAATATGAGTTTCCCATTCGTCCATGCGTGTCCTATCTGTGTGCGTCTGGAGAACAAACGTGGTGTCTCGTATCCCGTGCGATATATCAGAGTCCTGTCTAGTGTTTCTTCTCACGCGGCCTAGAGGACGAAACGCGAAAAATCCACGTCCTGTAACGAACGGCGCGACGTGCGAGCGTTCACCGACCGCGTGTCCCGTTTTTACCGGCAACACACGCGTGTGCAATCGTAATACAATGCGGTGTGTTGTACAACGTGTAATGTGTACGTTTCGTGACACGAATATTTTGAAACTGAAAATTACGCTTTCGTTCATTCTTCGAGCATTACGCGCGCTCGGGGCATTTCGTGAGAAATTGTATAATGACCGCGACAACAATCGGGGGAATCTCATCGAAATTAATGGATTTTAATGGTAATCTCAGAATAGGCGAAACATGCGATGTTCATAGTGATTCTCTGTGTCGTGAGTTAAGTTTTTACTTTAGATTTTACTTTATTTTTCGTTGCTTGAAATTGGTTACGTATTTGTAATTTGTACGAAAGAGTTGTAATTTATACAAGTATCTATTATTACACTGTCTTATTATTAGTAAAATTTCGAAGTTATTTTAATATCAATAAATTCTTTCGCGAAACAATAGCAAACTTTATGTACGAAATTTTATTTTATTATTGTTGATTACTCTACTTGTTTGTAACATGCAATTTATCATTTTTTAATGTTATAAATTATTGTAGAGAAACGAGACAGTAATTAATACTAATAACAGACACTCATGCCACTCATATCTTCAACAACAAGAAATCATACCTAATTAATTATGAAATTGAGAGGCATTGTACAATCACTAATGATAGACGATACAATTTTTTCGAGGTCAATACATATTTCAAAACCCGTCATTCTATGAGTTCTGTTTTTGGTATGGTGCAACTTGTAATGCATAACTATTCTTTTATTTCTTATAATCATACAATATTTCTTATGTCATATCAATATGTATATTATTTTTGCGTTATATAATATTTGTGACACAATAATTTACTTTACATTATTTTCACGCATGGGTTGATATAAATATTTTTTATTATGTTACGTATATCATATTAGAATCAACCTGTTGAAACATTCTGTATATAGTACTGAACAGAGTACATAATATAATTTATACAATATTTTATGATACAATTTTTACAACACACAGACATTCATAATTATAAAAAAGAAACGGGTTAAATGCTCATTCTTATAAATATTTTTATATTTATAAGAATATCTTTACATTTTAAAATATTATATATAACAAAACTAGCAAAGCATTATAGAAACGTAACGAAAGCAGAAACAAAATATATTCGTTTATACATTAGTTGAGTTTGTCTCGTAGGAGGACAAAGGTACAACTTTAATTTAATCGTGCAATTCAGCACTTTCGTTTCCTTTTGTCTCGTCCGGTTTCATTCAATTAAACAATTTTCCCAGCAAATTCGGGGCACGCACGTTCGCGGAAAGATGATCGAATACATGGTATAGATCAAGCTACAAAGGGAATGCAGATATGCTTGTCCCCCGCGATGCGACACGCAACTCGAAAGCGAAAATTAAAACTCGTTTTAAAAGACGATACATATTCCACGAGAGATGCGATCTGAGATTTCTGCTCTGAGGTTCTCTTATCGGTGGTCGATCGGACCTTTTTTTCTTTTTTTTTTTTCACGTTGTCGGCCGAGACAAAGTAAGCATCGCCGACTCTAATTACCGGTGAATGGAAACGCGCGTTAAGTTATGCAGATTGGCCGAAATCGTCGGCCAAATCACTGTGATTACTCTGGACGGACACGCCGTTTGAAGTTTTCTCTCTGGTTCTTTAATTCCGTTCTTTTTCTTTCGCTCACAATTTTTTCACCCCTGGGGGGGAATTTGGTGGGTCCTTTATCGCGTGGCCAATTGATTCGCGTGGGAAAGTGTCACGCGTTCTGCTATTCGGCGGATAGAAGGATCATCGTTTCTTCAACATATCCACACGTTGCACTTATGATTTTCTTGCTGACCGTGTAATTACATCTTCTTTGGTTTTGCCTGAATCTTTTCCTTTCATTACACTTGGGATATATCGCAAGATTTAACAATCGATTTATTTGTTGCACTACAAAAAGATTTATTACGCGAATGTAGATCATTTAAGGCTTCGTTGAAAGATTCGAATAAAACGTATGAAATATAAAAAAGAACAGTACTTTAATATTGCTTTTAGATTCACGACTTTTCGTTTAGAATACAAAATACAATTCTGGCGAGGAAATTTGTCTTCTCGCTTGTGACGAACATTTTCATTCCTTCCGAGTAAAATGATCGAGGCACAACAATGGTGAACGATCAGAGATTTATAAAATATCCTTTCGTTTTAATTCTTTTCTTGATTTCCTTCATCTTCGTGGCGAATTTCAGAAATAGTGATGTAGAAAGTTTGAACTTTCACGCATTGCTTAAGAAAAAAATTTTTAAAAATGCGGTCGTGTTATTGTTTTGATGAGCAGTATAAACTGAGATTCGTCGAAGCTGTTCGATGTGGGAGAGAACGGGCAGTTTTAACATTGTAATGTATGCAATTACAAAGACGTGGCGCAACGTTCGTTTCGAGAACAAATAACAGAGAAGAAGAGAATAATGAAGGTTGGACACGAGCGAAATTAACTGTCGATCTTTTGAAACTCGTGCGCTGCGATCTCAGATAATCAAATTAGCATAGAATGAGATTTGGGAACGAGCGGGGACTATTTTCTGCTGAATTTATTAACTTAAATCATACTTTGTAATTATTTATTTTGGCTGGTGCATATACCTGTGCATGTGTACGAGATATTGTCACTATAGATGTGGATTTTGCACAAGTCTATTTCGTTTGGAAAAAATTTCGAAAATTCTATATACTTTGATGCGAAGACATCCATTTATGAAGGATTTATAATTTAGATCTTTAAATATTCGTTCGTTTGCCAAATGGAAGTACATAATTATAAATCGAACAAAAATATGCGATAATAAACAACAGTAACATTAACACTGATATAATGTAAATATTGTTCGTTGAACAGATATTCATATTCAAATTTTCAAGTCACCGATTGTGGCCTGAATATAAATTCTTGGTATTTCGCCAAGATATTGGTTAACTAAGAGTGAAGAGGAGAGAACAATTTATATCTATTAAATTATTGTTTCGAACCTATTTGCCAAACATGGAAGCAACCATCATTTCTTTTTCCTTCGTTTTTAAATACTGGATCTAGGATATTGATAACTAGCTAGTTATACAAAAGAGTGACATAGTTATTTTCGAAGTGACACCTTCACAGATATCTTATCTCACCTTTACGGTTATCTACCAAGTTCTACCGGTGTACACGCCATCATGGTGTGCCCGGAAAAGATAACCGGAGGACGATTAAAATTGCAGCGCCATCGTGCGCCTTTCTTCCTCTATTTTCCTCTTTCTTTTTCCCCTTTGTTATTTTCTTTGGTTTGCTTCCGGGCTTTCTAGACAATTCAAGATTCTGCTGAATTGAAACTAGAGATAGTAGTCCAAATGTTGATGGACACACGCGAAAAGTTGCTTCAGTGTGCCCTTAATTTAAAGAAAAAAAAACTTTTTTTTAACTTTTTTTTTAAGATTATTTGCATTTATTTCTCGTCATTGAACGTACTGCTGTTTTCTTCTATAATATTTCTCCTGGATCATTCACATTTGCGAAAAGTTTCCCTCAAATGTAAGAAACACTGCCTGAATTTTATCTCCTGCAGATATCTCGAGAACGAAGAAAATAGAATAAAAAAAAACAAATCATCGAAATTGATAACACGGCCGTAAACAGTTTTACTCGAGTGTGCCATCACATTGGCGATTAGAAGCTTTATGAACTTAATTAAATCGTGAAATCGTCTGTTTTAAAGTAAATATCAACGATCCATCTCTCTATTCTGAATAACGAAAGGCTGCGAAACAAGAGGGCTCTGGGTCAGCGTCTCCGATGCACGCATGAAGGTGCTCCAGCTTCAGCCAAAGATCGCCTGGATGAAGGAAACTGCGAAGTCTGCGAAGTGGCATTGTTAGCGAGCCCTGGGGTGTGCAGACGTGCTCCGAAAGAAGCGCAAGCTTTAATGGTGGATCCCCGGTAGTAGTAGACGACCGTGTTCCTCCTCTCTTCGCTTGTTCATTGTCACTCGAAGCTCGGTATTCCTCGCCCTTCTTCCTCACCAAGTCTGAGACGAGATGGAAAAAAAAAAAAAAGAGAAAAAAGAAAACCGAAGGCACAGATCCAACAACGACACCTATGACGACGACGACGACGACGA